TTCGAAATCTATCTCCGGGAAGCCCAAAACTGGCAAGTTGGCCTTTAAGAAGACCAGCTTTTCCACCGCAAGGGGGTCGAGCGAGGTACGTTGGAGGGTGACGACATCTCCTGCCAGGCTGAACACCCTCTCACTCTGTACGCTAGTTGGTGGGCAGCTGAGAAACTTGCGGGCTACGGTTGAGAGGTCAGGCCATGTTTTGCTTTTTGCGGACCAGTACGCCAATGGATCGCTGTCTACAATCTCCTGAGGCTCGTTAAAGTACTGATTGACAGAAAACTCTGCCGAGTCCATCTTTGCCGCCTGGGACGACAAAGATGTTCCTTGCTCTACCATCAAATTGATACTGTCGGTTACGAAATGGTCCGCTCTCCTCTTTTTCAGCTGCAGTGCTCTTGCTTCATCCCTGATAGGTGGCAAGGTGGGACGGATGTCATCGGTGCTGCCGTAAGCGCTGGAGTTTTGGGGAGTAACGGCAGAAGGAATTGGCTCTGAGCGTTCCCCCACCCTCCGAGAGTATTCTTCTCTCACGAGCGAGAGAAGTTCGGCCTTCCACTTTGGCAGTTCTTTGGGGCAGGCAGAGTCCTTGATGCAAGGGTCGCAGAGTGCTGCCAAAACATGACTCTTACTCTCCATCAACGGTAGAAGACGTTTACGGAGTGCGAAATTCAACTTTCTGACCACCTCCTGGGCCTGTGGAGTCAAGGGCCCAGCCATACACTGCAATGTACTTTGTCCAACCAGCGACTCCAAATGGCTCTTCAAACGCAAGATGACTGGGACCACATGGCTGAGTAGTGCTTTCTGTCCTGAAAGTTTTTCAGTGGCCAGTTTGAACGGTTCTAGGATCTCAACCAGCTGAGTGATGGTCATCCACTCCTGGTTGTTGGGGACCAGCTTGTTTATCGGAGCCGCAATTGACAGCGAGACAGCGTGGACTGCCCTCTGTTGCTCCACCATGCGCTCCAACATGATGTAGGTGGAGTTCCAGCGGGTGGGGACATCCTGCAGTAACCGGTGTTGTGGGAGGCACTCCAGGATTTGCCTGTCACGCAGCAGTTTTGCAGACTTGGAGCTACGGTGGAAGAAGCCCGCGATTCTGCGGCAACGCTCAATGAGTTGAGCGACGGCGGTGGCGCTGGTCTCATCGGGCCCCTTGAAGCCATCTTTTACGCAGTTATGCAGCAAGTGCGCCATGCATGTTACGTTTGTGAAGCCGGCACTTTCGACCGCCCGGATCATGTTCCTTCCTGCGTCTGTGACCATGAATCCCGAGTTAGTACCACCGGAATGAGTATGCCGCATCCAGTCTCTCATCATCTCTCGCAAGTACTCAGAAATGGTATCGGCCCTGTGATCCGTATCGATCACCTCAAGGGACAGGAGTGCCCAACGATGACCCGAGTCTAGGCTACCCTCCATCTCCCACCAGTGAGCGGTCAGGGACAAATAGGAATGCCCTCCTCCCGTGCTCGTCCAGATGTCTGAGGTGAAATGTACATGGACGGGTTGTGACTTGTTCAAGAGGGTTCTGAGACGTTGCTTGCATCCCTCGAACAAAGCGGGAATGACTGTTCGAGAGAAACTTCTGCGACTTGGGATATTGTACCATGGTGCCAGGAGGTGAACAAATCGGCGGAAACCTTCCCGTTCCACCATACGGAAGGGCTGGTGGTCCAGAGCCATCATCTCTCCCAGGCAACGTGTTATTTGCTTCACTGATGGCGGCCTAAATCCAGATCTCACCCTTGTAACTTGCAGGCCCCAAGTATCGATGGTTTTCTGCATGGGGCCTGTTGGTGTGTTTGGAGTGCTGCTCAGTGTAGTGCTGGATGTGCTGGCGACTTCAACTGCGTCCAACTTCACAGTTGGGTGGTGTCTCCTTATGTGCATCCTTAGCCCTGTTGTGGCAAGATGCCTCATATCTTTTCCTCTGCTGACGCTCGCACCGCAATGCCTGCAAACTGCCAAAGTGGCCTTCTCCTTATGGACGTCGTAATGATCCCAGAGGAGCGATCTCGGCCTACCCCTACGAGGCAGTTGAGATGTACTCATGCTCGTGGTTGGACTGTCGGTGATTGTGGAAGGGATTGTTAGTTGTTTCTGTGGCTCGCCCTCCAGCACCATGCAGTCCTCTTCATCACTAAGTCCTGTGGTGGAAGTAGATTCCATATTGTCTTCCTCCCATTCCTCAGACACGTCCGCCTCCTCGCCCTCCTTGTCATAACAATTAGGAAGGACATCAGGATCTGAACATAGAGTCTTTTGAACGGAGGAATAAGGAGGAGGTCCTGCCATCTCACAGCTGGTAGAAGCACCTGTGGGTGTTTCAATAACCATCTCTTCGGTTGATTGTTCCCTTCTTCTCAATGTGTCCATCAGCAGTCCCCTGCCTTTCTTTGGTCTTTGCGATAGCACTTGGCCCTTGCGACTAGAAAAGCCGGGAAGGAAGCGTTTCATCACAATGGTTGTAAATAAAAGAATGAGTGAGCACTGTATTCAAAAGAGAAGACTCTTTCCTTTTTTTTAGAAAATGTTCAGAAATGGAAAATCAGGCCAAAACTGGCCCTGATGTAGACGTAACACAGGCAGGACACAGGGCAAACGAGAGCACACGCCAACAGGAGTCTCTTTCCTTTTTTTGTAATATTTTTTGTATTTTTTTAAGAATAAAAACAGGTATTTTTAGAAAATGTTCAGAAATGGAAAATCAGGCCAAAACTGGCCCTGATGTAGACGTAACACAGGCAGGACACAGGGCAAACGAGAGCACACGCCAACAGGAGACTCTTTCCTTTTTTTGTAATATTTTTTGTATTTTTTTTAGAATAACAACAGGTATTATTAGAAAATGTTCAGAAATGGAAAATCAGGCCAAAACTGGCCCTGATGTAGACGTAACACAGGCAGGACACAGGGCAAACGAGAGCACACGCCAACAGGAGACTCTTTCCTTTTTTTGTAATATTTTTTGTATTTTTTTAAGAATAAAAACAGGTATTTTTAGAAAATGTTCAGAAATGGAAAATCAGGCCAAAACTGGCCCTGATGTAGACGTAACACAGGCAGGACACAGGGCAAACGAGAGCACACGCCAACAGGAGTCTCTTTCCTTTTTTTGGAATATTTTTAGTATATTTTTTTAAGAATAAAAACAGGTATTTTTAGAAAATGTTCAGAAATGGAAAATCAGGCCAAAACTGGCCCTGATATAGACGTAACACAGGCAGGACACAGGGCAAACGAGAGCACACGCCAACAGGAGACTCTTTCCTTTTTTTGTAATATTTTTTGTATTTTTTTTAGAATAACAACAGGTATTATTAGAAAATGTTCAGAAATGGAAAATCAGGCCAAAACTGGCCCTGATGTAGACGTAACACAGGCAGGACACAGGGCAAACGAGAGCACACGCCAACAGGAGTCTCTTTCCTTTTTTTTGGAATATTTTTAGTATATTTTTTTAAGAATAAAAACAGGTATTTTTAGAAAATGTTCAGAAATGGAAAATCAGGCCAAAACTGGCCCTGATGTAGACGTAACACAGGCAGGACACAGGGCAAACGAGAGCACACACCAACAGGAGACTCTTTCCTTTTTTTGTAATATTTTTTGTATTTTTTTTAGAATAAAAACAGGTATTTTTAGAAAATGTTCAGAAATGGAAAATCAGGCCAAAACTGGCCCTGATGTAGACGTAACACAGGCAGGACACAGGGCAAACGAGAGCACACGCCAACAGGAGTCTCTTTCCTTTTTTTGGAATATTTTTAGTATATTTTTTTAAGAATAAAAACAGGTATTTTTAGAAAATGTTCAGAAATGGAAAATCAGGCCAAAACTGGCCCTGATATAGACGTAACACAGGCAGGACACAGGGCAAACGAGAGCACACGCCAACAGGAGACTCTTTCCTTTTTTTGTAATATTTTTTGTATTTTTTTTAGAATAACAACAGGTATTATTAGAAAATGTTCAGAAATGGAAAATCAGGCCAAAACTGGCCCTGATGTAGACGTAACACAGGCAGGACACAGGGCAAACGAGAGCACACGCCAACAGGAGTCTCTTTCCTTTTTTTGTAATATTTTTTGTATTTTTTTTAAGAATAAAAACAGGTATTTTTAGAAATGTTCAGAAATGGAAAATCAGGCCAAAACTGGCCCTGATGTAGACGTAACACAGGCAGGACACAGGGCAAACGAGAGCACACGCCAACAGGAGACTCTTTCCTTTTTTTGTATATTTTTTGTATATTTTTTAGAATAAAAACAGGTATTTTTAGAAAATGTTCAGAAATGGAAAATCAGGCCAAAACTGGCCCTGATGTAGACGTAACACAGGCAGGACACAGGGCAAACGAGAGCACACGCCAACAGGAGTCTCTTTCCTTTTTTTGTAATATTTTTAGTATATTTTTTTAAGAATAAAAACAGGTATTTTTAGAAAATGTTCAGAAATGGAAAATCAGGCCAAAACTGGCCCTGATGTAGACGTAACACAGGCAGGACACAGGGCAAACGAGAGCACACGCCAACAGGAGTCTCTTTCCTTTTTTTGTAATATTTTTTGTATTTTTTTAAGAATAAAAACAGGTATTTTTAGAAAATGTTCAGAAATGGAAAATCAGGCCAAAACTGGCCCTGATGTAGACGTAACACAGGCAGGACACAGGGCAAACGAGAGCACACGCCAACAGGAGTCTCTTTCCTTTTTTTGGAATTTTTTTTGTATTTTTTTTAGAATAAATCACAGGTATTTTTAGAAAATGTTCAGAAAATGGAAATCAGGCCAAAACTGGCCCTGATGTAGACCTAACACAGCCACGAGAACAGGGCAAAAGAGAGCACACGCCAACAGGTGACTCTTTCCTTTTTTTGTAATATTTTTTGTATTTTTTTAGAATAAAAACAGGTATTTTTAGAAAATGTTCAGAAATGGAAAATCAAGCCAAAACTGGCCCTGATGTAGACGTAACACAGGCAGGACACAGGGCAAATGAGAGCACACGCCAACAGGAGACTCTTTCCTTTTTTTTGGTATTTTTTTTGTATTTTTTTTAGAATAAAAACAGGTATTTTTAGAAAATGTTCAGAAATGGAAAATCAGGCCAAAACTGGCCCTGATGTAGACGTAACACAGGCAGGACACAGGGCAAACGAGAGCACACGCCAACAGGAGTCTCTTTCCTTTTTTTGTAATATTTTTAGTATATTTTTTTAAGAATAAAAACAGGTATTTTTAGAAAATGTTCAGAAATGGAAAATCAGGCCAAAACTGGCCCTGATGTAGACGTAACACAGGCAGGACACAGGGCAAACGAGAGCACACGCCAACAGGAGTCTCTTTCCTTTTTTTGGAATATTTTTAGTATATTTTTTTAAGAAAAACAGGTATTTTTAGAAAATGTTCAGAAATGGAAAATCAGGCCAAAACTGGCCCTGATGTAGACGTAACACAGGCAGGACACAGGGCAAACGAGAGCACACGCCAACAGGAGACTCTTTCCTTTTTTTGTAATATTTTTTGTATTTTTTTTAAAAAAAAGGTATTTTAAGAAAATATTCAGAAATGGAAAATTAACAAAATGCTCTGCTCTCCCTGCTGTGGAGAGAACAGCCACAAGACAGGGGGGAAAAAACACACACACAGGCTCACACACACACAGGCTCACTTTCTTTTTTAAAGAATCTTATTTTTTTAAGAATAAAAAAAGGTATTTTTCAAAAATTAAAAACTGCTGCAAGCCAATGCCAGCAGCCACAGCAGAAGCCAATGCAGCCAGAAGCCAATGCAGCCAGAAGCCAATGCAGCCAGAAGCCAATGCAGCCAGAAGCCAATGCAGCCAGAAGCCAATACAAGCCAATACAAGCCTCCCTCCCGACCTCCCTTCTCCCTCGCCGCCGCAACAATGAGCAAAGCGGCCACGCGGAGCCGCTTTTAAAGGCCCTCCCGGCCAATCAAAATCAGCCACGGTTGCCTTGCAGGGGTGCTTGGGAGCGCCGGATTGGCTCCCAGGCATAACCATCCTCCGTCCCATTTCCGAAACGGGCGGAAGCTCGTAGAAAGGACGGAGGATGCCGGATCGTCATTTGGAAACCCTTCCGGGTTTGAAATCTGCATCGTAATCGATCCTCCGGCCATTACCGACACGGGCGTAAGCCCGTAAACATCATGGAGCATGCCGGATCGTTATTTTTAAACCCTTCCGGGTTTGAAAAAAAATTTTGATATCGCTCCGTAAATGGAAAAAAAAACGATTCTTTACGATATACAAGATTAACGATCGAAACCGCCCAGGCCTAGTTATTAAAGGTAGAAGCGTGACTATACAATATTTCTTAAAGGGAGTGGACTAGTTCAAATAAAAATGATAGCAGAAAGAGTGAGAGATCTACAGATTAATCTGTATCTTTGTTAGTTCATCTAGTTTTAGTATATATGCTAAGTATGCATGTCTGTATATTTGCGTGTTTTATTTTTTCTATTTTTGTTTTGTTGGGTGTAATTTTTGGTAATAGTTTAAAATAGATTGGTGGGGTTTTTTTTTAGCAAAATGTATAACTTTATAATGTGTTTGCCAACTTTATTATAGTTGTACTATGTTTTTTCTCTTTTCTATCAATATAAATTAATAGCAAAAAAAGATTCTATGGATATGGAGAGCCAACTGAAATTACATTCTCTCCTCTTTGTGCTTTTTCCTGCATATGGCAGGGGGTTGGATTAGATGTCCCATGTGGTCTCTTTCATCTCAATGATACTATGATTCCCTGCTCTGTCTGAACACAGTCCGTCCTCCACTTTCGTGGTGGGAAATGGCACAGCTGTGAATATCACTGGGAGAGGGGGCTCTGCCGCTGCATTCCCCAGGGAGGCAACCAGCCATGCTTCCAGAGGATTCTTTTGCCCTCCAGTTGTCATCTATACTATATTTTTTAAAAAAACTTTCCCCATATATTACCCACATTAAATGTAAAGGATACATAATTATCTTATGATTTTTTAAATATTATGTTGTCCTTATAGCAATTCTGTGATACAGATCAGGGCTTCATAACCTTTTTTTTTCAATATGCAACCCTGTTTTACCTGAGACATTCTTTTGTGATCCCAAGCATCTAAAGGAAGGAGGTTTGGGTGAAGGGAAGAGAGGCATGTGTGCATGCAGGGGAAAGAGAGAGGAGGGAGAGGCAAACAGTGAGCTACACGAACTCATAGGAGAGAAGGAGAGTGACATAGAATCATAGAATCAAAGAGTTGGAAGAGACCTCATGGGCCATCCAGTCCAACCCCCTGCCAAGAAGCAGGAATATTGCATTCAAATCACCCCTGACAGATGGCCTTCCAGCCTCTGCTTAAAAGCTTCCAAAGAAGGAGCCTCCACCACACTCCGGGGCAGAGAGTTCCACTGCTGAACGGCTCTCACAGTCAGGAAGTTCTTCCTCATGTTCAGATGGAATCTCCTTTCTTGTAGTTTGAAGCCATTTTTCCGTGTCCTAGTCTCCAGGGAAGCAGAAAACAAGCTTGCTCCCTCCTCCCTGTGGCTTCCTCTCACATATTTATACATGGCTATCATGTCTCCTCTGAGTCTTCTCTCTTCCTCTCCTTCCTCCTCATCTAATTTTAATTATTGTCTAAGAAATCTAAAAAAAATAATTTAATCTCTTAGTAAGTTAGTATTGTATAGACAAAACGTATCACTGTGTATCACTATAACTTAACACTATCATTCTTTTTCTCTCTTAACACTACACAAAGCTTATGTATTTCTAAGTTAGTTTTCCTGATCTATTTAAGGGGAGTAATAATAATAATAATAATAATAATAATAATAATAATAATACTTTATTTGTATTCTGCCCTATCTCCCCGAATGGACTCAGGGCAGATTCCAGCATATACAAACACAAAGGCAAACATTCAATGCCTAGAAACAGCAAAACACAGATGTTTTAACACAATGTTTTAACAAGGAGATGCTAATGATGTTGGTGTTATTGTTTCTGTTGTGGTTTTATATTGTTTTTAATGTTTTAATTTGTATTTTGATATTATGTGTATTGACTTGTTGCCTGTCAACCGCCTTGAGTCGCTGACAGGCTGAGAAAGGCGGAATACAAATATAGTAAATAAATAAATAATAAGTGTGGGGTAGATAAGTAATACAAAATGTATAATGCTATATAAACATTCCAAATCTAATTAAAGGGTGCTAATCCATCTATTGTCCAAAGTTTCTTAAATATGGGTTAGATAGGTAATGCAGAATTTATATCTAGGGCCATGATCACACTTTTGTTGGAAGCTGTTGTTGTTGCAATTGATCCCCTTTTTTATGCTGGTCCTATTTGTCTTCAATTTAAGCGACCCATATCTCAATTTCATTCAATTCCTTCATAATCTCCCTTTGAATTAGCTTCAATTGATCCAATTTATAAATTAGATATTCCAAATTGGTAACAACTCTTTTGAGTTGTTCATGATACCATCCAGTCTTTGATTAGTTCTATCCACAGATTCAATCAGAGCCCCAAGCTGTAGCATCACGGACTGCCTCCAGTCATCCTCTCTCTTTTTTCACTCTTGTTCCTTATTTCAGAGGAAGAAATTAGCAAAACCAGCTTTCAGTACTCCTTGCCTTTAAAAATCCTGTGAAATTCATGAGGTTGCCATAAATCAATAGGCAACTTGAAGGCACATGCACACACATACAAAGACAGCTTTGAAGAGAAGCTTTGTAGTTAATAATAACTCATACTTCATCTTTCATATTGTGACCATCAGAGGAGGAATGACCCTACTTCAACATACGATGAAGAGAATCTGGTTCAGGATATCCGTGACTTGTTTTTTGCTGGAACAGAAGCAACTACAATTTCTCTGAAATGGGCAATCCTCCTTCTGGCAAATCATCCAGATATTCAAGGTAAGAGAGATCTCTGTGTAGCAAGAACAAAATCCTGCTGTGTCAGCAGTAACTTTTTAAGTAAAGGTAAAGGTTTCCCCTTTATATTAAGTCTACCGAAGTCTGACTCTGGGTGCAAGTGCTCATCTCCATTTCTATGCCAAGGAGCCGGCATTGTTCGTAGATGCCTCCTAAATCATGTGGCCAGATATGGTAGATATTTATGATCAACTCAGTAGGGCCTTCTCTCTGTCCCACCCACACGCTCAAGCACATTTGATAGGAACATGAGGGCCTTTTCAGTAGCTACCCCCAGAACGTGGAACTTCCTACCAAGAGAGACTGACCAGGATGCCCCCATCCTCACTGGCCTCCTTCTATTTCCATATTTTCCTACAGATAAAGTCTACAAGGAAATAGAAGATGTTTTGAGTTCCTCTTTTTTCTGCTATCAAGATCTAAAGAAGCTCCCATATACAAATGCTGTGCTTCATGAGATCGTGCGTTCAAAATATCCCTCCCTATTTGGAGTCCCAAGACAAACTGCCACAGATGTGAAGATAAGAGGTTTTCTCATCCCTAAGGTAGGATGTAGATATGCATGTCTATTTCCCAATGACAAGGATGCCTTATTGAAGATTTTGAGAGATTTACCCACATAGGACATAGCCAGCATGGAGTAGTGGTTTGGACACTGGATTTGGGGCTCATCTAAATTGATCACTCAATGTTGATTGAAGGCAACTAAAAATGTGGTATCCAAGACTGAATAACAATACCCTTTGAAGCCTTAAATTGGTTAAACAAAATAGTGAGATTTTCCAAAATAGGCCTCATAAAGCATTTTTGCACATGTAGGTGTAAACCACGTGCTCTGCATGCACACAGTGGTGTGCCGTCACGCCTGGGGGCTATAGCTCTTAGTGAAAGAGGCATGGACGTGTCATCTTTCCCCCAAGGGATTGCTTTTTGCCCTCCTTTAGGAAACTGAAACTCTCAAAGACCCAAAACATTGTAGATAACTCAAAATAAGTTTTATTGTTCACAAAGAGTCATCTCTTTAAGGCAATAAGCTGGAAGTTTCAAAGGGGTGAAGGAAAATATACATCATAGTTTCTGTTTGTCTTGGGACCAAAGAGTTTGCAGCTGAGAAGCTTTTCCAAGTTTCCTCTTTCCTCAATGGCTGTGAATAGCGGAATAATCACAACCCCAGTCCAAATGGCCTATGTTTGAAGATGCAGGGTCTTCCTCTGGTGCCAAAAGAACTGATTTGAAAGCACTTGAGACTTCCCAACGTCGTTCAGGTTGATCTGAACATGAAGCATAAGTCTCAGGGTAAGAACCTCAGAATTGGTGCTGAGAGGTAACTTAATCAGTGGCTTTTAGAGCCAAGTCTCTTACTCACATCCATCTGGTAGAAAAAATGATGGTGGAATAAAAAAGGGAAGCACTCCCTCCTCCAGGAAGAGGCAGAGCTAAACAATTGATCTGAGAAAGCAATTCAACTGGTGCAAACAACACTGATTGACAGCTATGAATAACCAATCAATCCAACTATACATAGGCAGGGTAAAAAGGCAGGATTAAGCATGATACAACAGTTTAAATCTTGCAACTAACAGTTCTACACATGGGTGGTGCCACTCGCGCCATCACAGTGGAATGGCAGGCATTGGGGGGGCGGGGGTGGACCCAAATCCTCCATAGCTGTGGAGCCACAAATATTCAAGTTGACTGCCCAGGCCTCAACCCGCTTCCTGAATTTGACCTGTGATCTGGTTTCTTCGCATGTGGATGTTCCCCTTTCATCTCGTATAACAATGTCCTTGTAGATGGGCCACAACACTCTGCAGACCAGGGTTAGAGTCATCCATAATTTTGTGTTATTTATTGCACAGTAAGGCATCAAGCAGGCATATTGGGAGAGTAGACATGTGGGTGCACAATGTCAGTCTTTACTTGAAGTGTGGTGTTGAACAACCATCTTATAATTAGATGGGTATAACATCTAGATAAGTGATCAGACAGCCCATTCCCACAAAATCTTAATTTCTAAGAGAGATATGTATGTGCTCATTTGTCTGATATTTGTTTCTGCCTTTCAGGGGACAACCATTATTCCAGATGTACGCTCTGCTCTTCTTGATTCTAAGTACTGGGAGTCTCCTAAAGAGTTCAATCCAAAACATTTTTTGGACCAGGATGGATATTTTGTTGCTAGAGAAGAGTATCTGGCATTTGGTGCAGGTAAAAGTTGTTCATAGCAGCTTGTGATTTATTGGTGTTTTCTTCTGAGGAGTTTTCATGATAAGATCTGCTTCAGCCTCCGACCTTCATGATTCAGTGCAGTTGCTGCTCTGGAGCCACATATCCATCAAGGCAACAAAATATTTGTTGCAATTATGATGCAATTAAGAACTAAAAACTGATACGCAATGTGCAGTTATGGGAGACCAGGGATTTTCTGCCAATAACTCCTAATGAAATCCATGAGAGGCAATAGAAAAAAAATGGAAAGACATGGGTGATTGATGTTGGTACGGCTGAAGAGGTTATTCTACCATTTCAATTTGCTTTTTTTCTTTGATAGTTATGAAAGCTTTTGTTCCTCACTATTTTCTCTCTGGTAGGTAGTAATACCCAAATGTTTCTGCTGTTCTCTTCTTAATGTAAACTGTTTATTTATTTCCATTTAAAGCGCTTATTTCTTATTCAATCCAGGGAGAAAACAAATGAAAGAAATAGAAGGGATTGCAAGGCATACACTCCTGAAAGACGCCCGTGCAACCTTTATTTGCAATTGCCCAGTGATGAGGAGTTCACCAACTTTCAATGTGGTCTATTCCAATTTAGTTCACATTTTCAAACAAAAAGTTATTTCCAATGCTTCTCTTGTAATTTGAATCTGATGGGTTATTTTAAGAGGGTGGAGTAGACCATGGTTTACCAATCCATAGTCCAGTTTTCAATCCATCCCTGTTTGCTGAATGGGATAGATACTCACTTTTTGCCTTTGTTATCCCTTCAGGGGCTCGGGTGTGTTTGGGGGAGCATCTGGCGAGGATGGAGTTCTTCATCGTCTTGGTCAACCTGCTGAGGGCCTTCCATTTCCAGCTGCCTCCAGGAGTCAAAGAACTCAATGAAGATCCTGAAGTAGGATTCATAACACCACCCCATCCTTATAAAGTGTGTGCTGTTCCTCGCTGTAGTTCATCACAAAACATACAAAAATAATTACAACGGTATATACTTTATTGCTGTAAATTTAAATTAAATCCACATTCCATTCCATTTTCTAAATTTCTTTCCTGTGCTTAGAATTTGAAGCACATCTGTGATATAACTCAGTCATAAAGAAATTTTGTCTCATTCTGTTTTGCTTCTTTTCACACATTTTTCAGTCTAAAGAATTTTTGCTATGTATGGATGTAGTGGAGCTAAAGTAGTATTGTGTGTTGTGGGTTGATCTACTTCTCTGTCATGGGAGATGATGTTTTCATATCCTCACTTTTCCATGGAAACCCCTGGGTGATCTTAGGGTTCCCCTAGATCTGAAAGGCACAGCAACCCATACATTTAGAGAAGTGGCAGAATACCCCGAAACATCCCATGTTTCTCAACTGTAGTAGGAGCTGTGTCCAGACCACAGTATGTATCAGTGTCTGCTGATGTTTTCATAAGAACCCAAATGTTGGGTGGAATCAAACATACAGATGGGAGAATACAGAGAACGTGGAACAAAAAACCATTGAAGTAACCCGAAGATAAAAGGGACAGAAGGATGAAGAATTCAAGGCCCCTATCTGCATTATATGGCAATGTAGATGGGGTTAGGAAGATGCTGTAGCAGCAATGTGGGTGAAACCATAGATTATCTTCTATAGAACAAACACTCCACCCAGTTTGCATGGTTTCATAAAGTCATAGACTCCAAGGGAGTGGGTACAAATTGATTTATTGTGAAATCACAGTTCATAATCCAGGAATACTACTTTCAATCTGGCATCAATTAATATAGCTGTATTTTCTCAGTTCTTGGAATAAAAATAATACTAAAAAATATAAGCCATGAGAACACTAGGTGGTGCTAATGAATAAGCCATTGCCTTGAATAAGCCAGCCCTTAAAACTGCTTGACCATTACATGCTAATCAAGGTGGCCAATTGAAATATTCACAGCTACCTCCAACAGACAAGAGTCCTTTTGCCCTCCCTGGACATTCCGCAGATATATACCCCATTTTCCTAGTTTCCAACAGACCTCACAACCCCTGAGGACGTCTGTCATGGATGCAGGTGAAACGTCAGGAGAGAATGCTTCTGGAACATAGCCATACAGCCCGCAAAACTCACACCAACCCATTGCCTTCTTGTTATATAAACTCTTCCTTTTTGAAAACTTTAAAAAAGTAAACTTCCACTAGATATCCCCGTCCATCGTACAGGTTTCTAAAATCCACAACAAGTGAAGGTGTCAAGATGGTGGACGAGCATTAACAGGGACTGACAGATCTGTGTTTGGATTTGCTGTCAGCTCCTGCAATTTTTTTGCCCCACTTATTTGTCCCACATTTTGACACTGTCTGGAAGCACCCTTAAAACTCTGTTTAATTTTGTTTTTAGTTTTAATTGTCTTGTTCCTAAATTGCAACAAATGACAACATATAGAGTTGGGTTGTTGTAGGTTTTTCAGGCTATATGGCCATGGTCTAGAGGCATTCTCTCCTTAATGTTTCAACATTCCTCACCCAGTTCCAACAGACAAGAGTTCTTTCTTCCACCCTGAACATTCCACAGATATAAATCCAATTTTCCTAGTTTCCAACAGACCTCCCAACCTCTGAGGATGCCTGCCATAGATGCAGGTGAAACGTCAGGAGAGAATGCCTCTAGACCATGGCCATATAGCCCGAAAAAACCTACAACAACCCAGTGATTCCAGCCATGAAAGCCTTTGACAAAACATATGGAGTTCTGACATCTTTCAGTGTTTTTCATAAACAACAAAGTAAGAGCAAAAAGAGTGAAGGTAATACAATTTTACTTTCCACCAGCAAAAAGAAAAAAAAGAAATAAGTATATTCTCTTTACATACATTTGTTTGTTGTGCATGTTTCTGTCCTGTTCATAGTTGGAGGAAGAGGCTGACCAATTTTTTTTGAGGGACAACAAACCATAGAAATGGATTGCATTAGGCAGGCTCCTAATCAGTTTTGTCTATGTGCCTATATTATTTTCATCATATTGGTAAAGAGGGATGCTGTGTTAGGTTCAGACCAATCCCTGAGATCAAAACCGAAGGTCTCTTGTAATATCATTGTTATGCAACAACAACAACAACAACTTTATTTTTGTACCCCGCCACAATTTCCCCGAAAGGACTTGGGGCGGCTTACATGGGGACAAGCCATAACAGACATAGATTAAAACACAATGGAATAAAATAAAACATCATAATAACATCAAACAGCAACATAAAACAACCAATAGCCTGAAGCAGTAATAAATACTGAACTTGGATGGTAGGAGCTCGTGCAATATAGCTTCAAGATAAGGGCTGGTGGAAAAGTGCAAGAGCCGATAATAAATTAGGGCTAGAAGGTCAATGTCATTTAGAATGCCAGTTCTGTAAGGCAGGGAACAGTGATAAAGTGTGGGAGTTGATAGTAAGTTGTAGCTGGGGGCCAATTAATTACCAACCACAGAGGGTAAGAGCTTGATATTCAAACGAACACACACCCCACACCTACCCACAACATTTTCACCTGTTTGGAAATTTAGACAAAAAAAAAATCTTTTCTACAGGGAGTGTTTCCAAATTGGGGTGAAACAAGGGTAGGGAGGTCTGCTTGTTGGTCTGCTTGCTCCCAGCTAAGAGGTAGATGAACTATCTGAACCCATTTCATGTGATAAGCTTGCATGTTTAGTTATAATTAGAACCTCATGATATGATTACTCCATTTCCTCAGAACAATAAAAGGTGTCAGCTGATAGTACTTACACTGGCACATGTAGGTTATGTTTGTCAAAACACTTTTGTGTTGCACATTACATCAGAACCAAAGTATTTATCAGACATATTGCTTTCCTTTATTCTTACATGTAAATCAATATAGGTGTTTTGCTTTGCCCTCCTTGTATATTTTCATTATGAGTAATTAATTATACTAGGCCAAGATCCTGTGCAGGATGGCAGATCAAAAAATTCCACCCAAGTGGAAGTCCATTTTGTCTTCCTTCGCCCCTCTGCAGGACTCATTATCCTCTTGTGCCCTATAACAAAGCTATGTAATCACTGAAGTCAGCTAAGAAATGCCTGGCAGTGTCACTTTATTTCAGGGATGTGTTGAGTAATTTCAGCTCAGGTAAAATCACGGATTGGGGGCCCATTGTGTCAAGATCTCAAAGGACTGAATAAGACACACACTAGATGAAGGCAAAGAAGAGAAGCATTTATTCACTTTGGCTAAAGTGTATGTCAAAAGAGTCTGCTCTCCAAAACCCAACATAACTCAATGCAAACATACAGAAATATTTATAGCATTCTGGCATCAATTAGAAACAAAGGATTTTGCAACCCTAGTTGCTGATTGGTCTAGATTGTGGCTGGCTAAGATCTGAAGATTGGTTGACTGTGATGTGCTGTCTGCCATTGTTGCTGATTGTTCTCAGGGTTTTCATAAATTGCCATTGCTCAGTTTGAGGTTTTGTGGCTGTTACATGTTCCATCTCTCATGGGTGTGAGAAAGGAATGAATGGGAGTAGGTTTGCGGTAATAGGTGCTAATGATGATAGTTTACCCAGTAGGCCTGGGTAACAACGCAAAAATTTGTTTCTAAAATCGATTTGTATTTGGGTTTTTTTTGTTTCGATATTTAAAATAATTACAAAATTTTCCCTTAAAAAAGTTCGGTATTTACGAAATTTCGTTAATATTTACAAAACATTTTGTAAAGATGGCACCCTTTTTTTTCCAATATTTTTTCAATATTTTTAATTTAATTATTAATTTAGTAGAATAGGGAGGAGAAATTATTATTAAGGAGGGAAGGCAGGCACTCACTCTGGCGGGCCCTCAAGCGCTGCCGCCGAGTCGGGCCCGGCTCCTCCGAAGCAATGCGAAATTGGGAGAAGGGCTCCCCAAAGGCCATCTAGCCCAGCCCTCCGCTAAGGAATTGGGAGAACGAAGCACAGCCCTCCGCTAAGGAATTGGGAGAACGAAGCACAGCCCTCCGCTAAGGAATTGGGAGAACGAAGCACAGCCCTCCGCTAAGGAATTGGGAGAACGAAGCACAGCCCTCCGCTAAGGAATTGGGAGAACGAAGCACAGCCCTCCGCTAAGGAATTGGGAGAACGAAGCACAGCCCTCCGCTAAGGAATTGGGAGAACAAAGCACACCCACCGCAAAGGTGAGGAAGGAGGGACGGGCCGCCTTCCCGCTGAGGGTCGCTCGCCCTCTCGCTCGCTTGCTCAGCCGGCGCCTTCCCCGCCCTCTCCTCCTCCTCCTCCTCCTCCTCCTCCTCCTCTTTCAGGCTCTGACTGGCTAAGGAGAGGAGAGAGAGGAGAGCTCCCAGCAAGCATCTAGCCAAGCCATCTTACGTATTTCCGAAATGGACGGAAATACAAAATTTTTTGGCGCATGCCGTTTCGATATTTAAAAACACTTCCGGGTTTAAAAATAAGTTTTGTAATCATTTTGTAATTGCTAAAATTAACGAATATTTAACGAATTACAAAATTAACGAACGAAACCGCCCAGGCCTATTACCCAGCCTGGATAAGGATAATGGTCTGCGCTGTTGAAACAATGTGCAAGGGGTAACAATTGGTATCAACCAACATGAAATACTTTGATTGTGCTTTTCCTGCATGGCAGGGGGTTGGACTAGATGGCCCATGTGGTCTCTTCCAACTCTAATATTCTATGATTCTAAATGGATGCCCAGGAGGTGAGGTGTTAGGCAACTTCTGTGACCTTTGCTTTGACTCCATTGTTTTGTATGTGGAGGTATTATTAAGGGATTATGCCTACTGCCTGAAGGGGAGATTAGGTTTCCTCCTGGTGAGTGCTTGTGAAAATTTTATGTTTTGGTTAAATGTTATCTATAAAGGTTAGCTCAAATTAGGTTTCTGGGTGGAAGGTCATCTGCTATCAAGATCTTCCTGTGGCATCAGGTTTTAGGGTTCTCTTTGGGGCCCTGGGGTTTCAATAACAGATTGGCAACTGAATCAATGTTTCTCAAGAACCCTTTCCCTG